AGGAATCAACTCGCTCTGACAGTGAGTCATGAGAAAGTGAAAGAGCACAGAACAAAAAAAAAAAAAAAGAAAAAAGAACGATAATGTATGTCGTCAAATGTCTAACGAAACAGAAACTGACATCGGTAATTTCTGAAATATTTTAGCGTTTTACACGACACAGTAGTATGTATTGACCAGCCTCTCCTAGTTTTGATACAATTACCGTGTTGCTAAATCGCGCAAAAACTCGACGTATCGTCGTATCTCACTCGATGCTGATATCTCTATAATACGATGCTCCCGAGAGCCTATTCAGAGCTCTAATCTCAAGTCGAACGGAACGTAATCTAGTTAAATCGTGAACGTACGACGAATAAATAGGAGCGAACGACGTACGTAACGAGGAGGAGAAAATTTGAAACGCGATTCGTCCGGGAGTTTCGCTCGCTGGTCTGCGTAGTCGCGAAGTTGGAAGGCTGAGAGCCGCGCGCTCGCGTGGTTCTATGGGAATGTCGATGGCTTGGCAACAACGCGGCACCGTACGCTGGTGCACCCGCTACACGCCAGGCAACGTTGCAACCGTCTAATGCACGAGCAAGCGTGTGCACGCGTGGATCGTTGCTGGCTACGTATATACGCGTGTGCGTACGGACGTGGCTGACAGACGAGAAATCGAAAGAGCCGACCCGACCGAACTGTACGACCGACGAAACGTCTCTGAACACGCGCCACCGGCGCGGCACCCGAAGCTTTCTCGCGTGTTGCCTCGTGCGTTTACGAGACACGCGTTCGCTCGCTCGCGAATCAAGTGCACTTTCAAGGCTGTCGGCAGAAATTTCCTCTGGCCTCGTTTGAAAAACAGCCGGGGACACGTGTTTCCTCTACCGCGATCGGTCCCGTTCAGGAATATCCCCGATCGACGCTCTAACGCGATACTATAGATACTCGGCCAATCGGTTCATTTCGACGAAATTTTCTAGCTTTGTATGTTTTATATTTTTTGTAGTTTAATCTAATAAAAAGATATGCAAGAATTGATATACAGAAGAATTGATGTACTCAAACTTTTGGTCAGTAAATTCTTTGGCTAAAACGGAATACAGTTTTACACATTGGTGCAAGCACGATCGATACATTAGTACACAATTGTTAAACTATTGTGTACTAAAAAAAATTGTTAAAAAATTGTGTAAGTTATCGTTATAACATTGTTTGAGATATTGGATATTATTTATTAGCATTTAACTATTATTGCGGGATTTTGCATATGTATGAACATATGTATATAAAAATTTTCATGGAGAATTTAAATGTACAAAATGTTCGTACTATACAAGAATATAGAGAATATTCGAGATAAAGCCGTATTCGTAAAAATCTCAATTTGCAGTTACGTTGTTGTCACAATTTCGCTTTTAAGCGACACACGACGTTCAATATAATTTATAGGATTAGATTTTTGCTTTTTACCGAAGGAATCCTTACAACCGAGGAGATAGGTTGCGACACACGATAGTTTTTGCATCAGACAGTTGATCTCTGACGTGCTAATAGAATAAAATAGTAGAGTGAATGACGAAGTTATTAAGAACGTAAGAAGCTGTTACGATGATATGAAGAACATTCCGTGCAGCGCATGAAAATCCATGTTTACGTTCCGACAAGGAGTATATCTAATGCATGTCTAGCACATGGGTGGTTTTGTTCGAGCTTTGCTCAAGATTCAATTGGAGAAAACGAGGAAAGCTCACGGTGAAGCAGCGTGTATTCGGCAGAGCGGGGGGGGGGGGGGGGGCTTTCGAAACGCTTTGGGCACTTTCATGCATTGCGAAAGATTCAAACGGAGGCCGGAGGAGAATGATTTGGGTCGTGACCTAGATTTCGTATTCTCTGCTCGCTCTTTCTCCGACTTCTCTTTCGTTTTTCCACCTTATTTCACGTATGCCGGTTTATTCGCGTTGCTACATCATCGAACACCGTAATTGGCTTCGGTTGATCGCCGATCTGTTCAGGGAGTTGTCGATAACTCTGTACTTCGCCAAGTTCAATGCTCCGGTAGATCCGACGTAACGTTTCGACAACTCTGCTATTGATTAACTAATTGTAACGCGACGAAAACGTAGTTTATATAATAAGGAGATTGTTTCCGTGACAGATTTCGCCACGTGTCTCCCTCTCCCTCTCCCTCTCTCTCTGTTTACGTCTCTCTTCTTCTCTTTTCGGTTTCTTTCATTTGTCTCGTTATTTATCGCTTAATCAAGACGCTCGGCGTCCTCGTCGCTTTCCCGTTTCACTTGTGGCTTCAGAACGAAGGCGGAGTCTTCAATGTTTCGCTTTAACTAAATGACTCATCTTTAAGCGATGCTACGAGGGATACGAGCAGCGTGTCCACTCTTCCACCGATAATCTCTGCGCGTGAAATTTGCGCTTTGGAGAAGTGCCAGATCATCCGCGCGTACTTAGACAGGCGTTCCTCAAAATCGACACTAACGTCTTCCTACGGGATCGAAGATGACGCGACGCTGACGACAAACGATCCGAGTGATTAATGTCGTGCAGTCTCTATCGGTGGCCCTGTTTACCGAGCTCGATGTCGACAACTTGTTGGACATTGGCGTAAGTCGCGGCTAGACACGTACGGAAGGTTACTCAATACCTTTGGTTAAATCGTAAGTGAGATTTCGTGTACGTACAAATCGCCGTCTCATGGACATCGGCAGTAGCAGAAAAATAACATTAGCACGCGCGTGCAACATGTAATTTAACGACCCTGATAATACGATTATTGCGCGCGAACATAATCAGGACATGACAAGATAGTACGCAGATTTTACTCGAATTCTATGCCTTCTTTTTTGCACATAGATATAATATGAATGCGGTGGTGTTTCTAATTGCTCGGTATTGCGTAGAACCGAGCAGTTTGTAAGTATAGATAATGAAGTAGTACAATGGTGCTAATTTTGATTGACTGTTTTTAAAGAGGTACTTTTGACGGTATTATACGGAAGGCTAACGCTATACATTCTTTGGATAGTTTCCAGAGGCAACCGGGAGCCGCGGTAAAATAATGATCTCTTTTTTTTGGGAACTTTCCAATGTTTCTCGATTCGACAATTTTTATGTTTCGTAATATTCGTGATATTTTATAAAGATTTACATGTTGGACACATATAATATAATGTATGTAATATATTACTTCGCAATATATTTAGAAATTCGCGTTTATCGTTTGTCATCCGCAAGAGAAAAGTTTAAGATATAAAATGCGCACATTGCATCGCAGATTTACTCGTTCAAAGCCAGGAATCGGCAAAAATAGAAATATGGATTATCGTGCTTTTTTCCTTGAACTCAGATGGATTCTATGTAATTATTATTTAGAACAATTTGGAGCACACTAGATCATAAGTAGTGGCGATGTGTTTTTGCGGCCACGTACTATTTTGTGCAATTACTTCTCGGACAGTTAAGTTATGTTATATTAATACCGTAATAAGAGCGTCCCGCGATAATGTCGACACATGCTAACCTTTTGTCGGCATCGTTAGTTTTTTTTCTTCGCTGCTATATACGGCTCATAATAAACCCGTGTAATAACCTATCTCAATCTTGTATCGTTTATCGTATCATTCCGAGGCAAACAAGAGACACGAGCGTGCAACGAACGGTGCATGATTGGTATTTGTGGGCAAATCTCTTTACGGATTCCCCGAACGATTTTCTTAGTAAGCGTTAAACATCACGTCAGCTATTCACTGAACTTCAGTAATTTCTTAACTGACGACTACACGCTAACCAGTTATCAGTGTAGTGCCCAGCATTGATCGGCAATAATTTTAAACGGTAGGCGCTACATCGTCTTTCGCTTGTCAATATCGCGCGATACGATAAATTGCAGAAAGTTACGATTCAGTATAATGTGAAATAATCAGATAATTTTGACAAGCGATGAACGAAGTTTACAGCATAATTATTATTGCCAATCATATTCATTGCCTGTGTTTGCTGATCGTTTGAATTTGAAAACGAGAATACATGGGAGAGCTCAATTTTCAACTGTGAAAGTAAAATTCGGCACATTTATAGTTTTGGAGTAAAACGACTTTGATGCTCCAAAACTATAAAAAATCCTCTTTATCTGACTTCAACGGATGAATGATGTATGCGCAACAGCATGATCTTTTCCTCGGTCAATAATTGATTACAAGGCGCAGCAAACTATCGATGAATTGAAAGCGGTGTTTAATTACCGATTATCCGAGATGGAGTAGACGACGTGAGTCTACGCGGGCGCGATTTCTTAAAATCCAACGGTGCAATTCTATCGGCGTCCATCGGTATTCTTCTGCGCGCGGTATTATCGTGGCGCACGCGGTCGCTCACGAATTCGGAGTAACGAGTAAATTCCGATAAGTTACCGGTGTGTCGGAAACTTTGGCGAGACGCGGCCGGAGGGAGCGGTGAGGCACACAACGTCGAGGTAGGAGAAAGAGCGGGAACGCGAGACGAAGCTCGACGACTATAGAGAAGAGAGGAGAGACGAGGAGAGGAGAGGAGAGACGAGGAGAGGAGAGGAGAGGAGCGAAGAGGAGAGGAGAGGTGCGGAGAGGAGTGGAGACGAGAGAGGAGAGAAGAAGAGAGGAGAGGAGAGGAGAGGAGAGGAGAGGAGAGGAGAGGAGAGGA